AAAAAAAAAAAAAAAAGAAGAAGAAGAAAGAAAGAAATCATATAGGATTTCACTGGATTGAAGAATCTTTTGGTTCTTCATTGAATTGAATTTTTAATTTCACATTATTATTGATCTAGTAATAGTCCAATTGGTCATGTCAAACAACGAGACCAGTTTCTGGTTCAATATAAAATATAATTCAATTATTTAATTTTGGAAATGTAATTAAAGTTTATATACTCGTATAATATTCAATCAATAAACAAACTAATCAATGTTAACATGATATGAGTTATATGTTTTCCTTCTAGGATAAACATGAATTTAAAATGATATATTTTTCGGAGTATTTCCTACTTCGAGAGTACATTGTATTTTACTGTTGCTTCTTCAAGAGTTATATATCAATATTCTTTTGGAATATTGAAATCATAGTGCTTTGCTCTTCATGAACAACGATATATTATTATTTAAAATGTAAATTATAGAAGAATTTACTCTTTATATGTAAAAAACTAAATTTTAATTATATTATTCGAGAACAAGTAAAATATAACCAAAACATAAATAATAGTTTGCTATTTCATGAGCGACAAATTATTATTTAGAAAACATTAACTTTTTAGAAGTATATTTTCTACAATAATATAATATTTATAGAATTGTGTTTTTTCAGAAACAATATGTCAATATTTTTTTGGAATATTGAAAATTATAATTCATGCATTTTAGAAAGCAAATAATATTCTTTTGGAATATTAATTATAATATTGTGCTACTTCAGGAGCAACAACATTATGGATTTTCAATTTAAAGTTTATAAATGGGCATTTAAAAATGTCTAATCAGGCTAAAAATATTAATTACCATATAAACACGATATAATATAAAAATCAATTACCAAACAGATATGATAAGAATTTATATATAAAAATTAATTACCAAACGTGCTTTAGAAAAAAGAATCTTTATACATACAAGTTAACAAAATTGATTGAGTCTTTTATCAACATGCAAAGGATACCTAACATGTGAATTCCACATATACAGAAATTAAATGTAGAAATAAAGGTAAAACTAATATGTGACAGAATCAAAATGCTGAATAAATGGTAATGCATTAATTTACTTAATAAATAATGAATTAATATGCATACAAATGAAAAGCATAGAAAAATAGGTAACCTCGTTATGATACAAATGCACATCAAAAGAATTTACATATCACCAAATTAATTGTAGTACATATGACATATAATTATGCTTACGAAAATTATTACATTCTAAACAATTCACAATTTTGAAAGAACCGTGCTATTAACATGTTATAAACTATAGAAAAAAGCCAATAACATTGTGTACTTTTCTAAGAACCAAAACCTTATATTTATATAGAAGAATTAGACTTACAAGAGATACGATAGTCATAATGACTATGGTTACGAGGGCATAAAAGTTATTCATAATACTACTATATTTATTATAAAAAGTTATATCATCAATTTCCAAATATTTAATTGATATTGTTGTGCTTTAAGAGAATTAATAGTAGCTTTCTGAAAAATGAATTGGATGTGTTTGATAATTTTTATTTTCATAATTGCCTTAGATTTCAAAATCAGCATTTTAGGGTTTGGTAAACCGAGTGATTTATTAATGTGTCGCATCAATGTTTTCAAACTTGGACATGACCGATCGATTCAACCAAAATTCGGTCCAATCACAACTTGAAAATCATATATATAGAAATCGGTAGAAAACTAGAAAAACCATCCGGTTCGTCCGAAAACTGATGAACCGATCATGATTTCTCCGAGTTTCACAAATAATATTTCTATTAAAAAAATTTATAGTATAAAGAAAAGAATGCTTTAGTGCCATTTCCAGCCTCTTATTAGCCACTAAAGCTCTAATATCTTTGTGCTGAAGCCCTTGTACAAGATTTCAATCAAAATATCTAAAAATCAATCTTAAACAATCCAATTATTTAAATAGATACATACAAATTGTATGTGTAACAAAGAAGAGAAGTAGAAGATGAAGCAGTCGACAAAGGAGAGAAGTAAACAATGAGGCAGTCAGCAGATGAGAGAAGTAGAAGAACAAACGGGAATTAATTCATCCGGAACTTTTGTTGGCAAATTCATTCTAGGGTTTAGTTAATGGGCTATGGTATATTTTGGCCCATTTATTTCCCCACTTAACGTCTGTTTGGTCTCCATTAAAGCACTTTAATTTATTTTTTTCAACCCCTTTTTTGACGCAAGTGGGGTCCATTCTGTTGCCTTCCTGATTATTTGCAGTGTATCACGTTTTTTCAAACGGATTGTTGGTAACAATGGACGAAACCACCCTTCGATATCAAAACTAGATGACCAATTGAATTTGAGGGGAGTGGTTGCGAGGGCAGTTTTGTCATTTAGTATTGTGACCAATAGTTACCCTCCATTTGAATTCTACTGCACTCTCTGACTTATTAAAAAAATAAAAATAAAAAAAGGAGGTTGAACATCAATCTTGAGGGCCCCCATTGCCCCGCTGCACAGTCTGACTTTATGACACATGGGGCCGCACTAGTTTGAGAAATTGGCAAATAATGTGTTTTAATGGGGGCCAAACGGAAGGTTAATATTAAGTTGATCCATATATTAATAAAATGTTAAATATGAATTATAAAATGCTTTTTAAATCAATAGAATTTTTTAATATAATATATTAATCTATTTATTTTTTATTTTAACTCCGGGTCGATCCCAATTCGATCTCGATTCGATCGTTTCCCTTGATCCTTTAACTTTTCCGAATTGATGATTAGATCAATTTTCAAAACAATGATCTGCATACAATTATTTAAAGGTAATGATGTTCATTTATATCGTTATTATAATTAGTATTATTATAATTTTTATTTAACTTTATAATAAACAATAATATCATCAATTATTTTTTTTAAGACATCGTATTCTTTATAATTGTGTTAAACTAAAAAAAATAAATTAAGATCTATTAAATTACAATATTTATAAAATTACAAAATAAGATACATACTCCATATAATAGAAAAATATTTTAAAAAATAATAATTTATCTTTTATGCATATGCAATGATTTGGTTTCTCAATTTCTATTTAATATAATAACAAATAAATATCAAATAAATTTAAATCTTTAATGTGAATTACTGAGAAAGACGCTCTATTTTTGGAATATTAGTAAACCAAAAAAGATATGAAAGGAATTATTCTCAATTAATTTAGGTTATAATCGATACTTTTATAATAAAATAAGCACCAAACTAAAAACAGAAAGCACCATGATTTTTGTTAACTACACCACATTTTAATTATAAGATCCCCCTTTTTTTCTTCCCTAGGCTTTCCATCAAAGAGAAGGCATAAAACATCATATTCATCCAGAGACGGATCCGAGGGGGCTAGGCTGGACTGTAGTCCCCCACAATCAGGGCCAAGAAATTTTATTTAAGGTATTTTTTATTTTTATTTTGGTAAAAAATCAATTTTTTATGTGTAAATTTTTTTTTTTTTATGTAGTAGTCCGACTTGAAATTTTGTAGCCTGATATTGAATTCAGCCCTGAATCATCATTCATCCAATTAAGTTCTGATCAACAGCCCTTTTCTTTACAACCTTAGTAACAAGAATAATTGCCTACCTTTTAACTTTTCTTGTCACTGAGATGTCCCACTCTCTTTATCTTAAAGTTCTGTGTGGTGGAAAGAAAGGGACAACTCAAATATGTTCTCAGTGGGACACAACAAATATAAGGTAACAGTTAGTAATAAAACAAAACTACTGACTCATCGTTGGACATTCTTTACCAAATCACAATCCATTGAACCTAATACGAACATAACATAGAAAGTTCAAAGAGCTATAAGATCATATCTATTATGCAGTCGAAGGGCTAAAAGCAACAAGTTCATTATTCTTTACAGTTCCACACAACGAAAAACCCAGATACACTAGCTACAATTACATATAATAACTGGAATATTTAAACTCGACAGTCTCTTGCGCTCTACTGCTGGTAAGAACGGATTCTCGGACTCCAATAAACTAAAGAAAGAGCGGAATCGCAGAGTAACAAAAAGTGACGGTTTGTAACTATCACTTATCTTCCATATTAGAGAAACTAGAATAAATCCCTTCTGCCCTGCATTAATATTTTCCTGCAAATTAACATTTAAGAGCAATTTTCATCACGTCAACTACAAATATAAGATTCAGCATATATAGAATCAAAAAGACTAAAACTTTGGATTTCAAGAAGAAATTGAATGGTAAATACCCAATTATATGGCATATTCACATGCCATGGCAACGAACTTCAATAATAAAGAGATCCTGCCAAAAAGTAAAAAAGATGTTAAAACAAGAGAAGTCTAGCGACCATAATTGAGCCGTGTACCAGTCCAAAATCAGATAAACGCACCCTGCCACCAGTTCCCTCTAGAAGCACTGCCTGAGTCGTCGTCTTCCCCATCCTTACCGAACTGATAATAAATAAAAAGTATGTTAACGCGAAAATGTATCTAGCCTTACAATAAAAGAAAAAAAGGACAATAAAATTGAAGCGGTTTATTTCCAACCCTGTTTTTATCCTTTTTATTAGGATCATTGCAGCGAAATAATATTATGGCAAGAAAGTTGTAGTATTTGGTTATAGTAATGGAAGCTTGTAGAAGGTAAAAATGCCGATTTTTACTATTTCTTGTGAGATTCATAATCACTAAGAACAGCAAAATGAAGTTCTTCGTGAATCACCATATTTACACAAGAGAGACATATCAATATTAAGGTAATCATACGATAAATTTGAAAGAAATTAGTCAGATTTCTCCTAATATAGTGCTTATTTACATTCGGCATAAAGAGTACTCACAGTTGTTGGTCCTGGGTTCTGAGTATTCTGGGGACGAGAATAGACATCTTGACCACCGTAGTATATCGACGAGCTGTAGTGAAATGGTTGTGCTTTTTCCTCCTGATATCCCAAATTTGGGTCTTTGCCTGGTATGCTCTGCCTCTGGCCTTCACCACTCCGAGAATTATTGCCTGGAAAACAAGCATGAAGTTAGTCCAAATCGAAAATTATACTTTAAAAGAGAATGGGAGAAACACACACCAACAAGAGTAATGGTCACCAAATTTTCAAAAACTACGTCTAATTCCTTAAGCGGGTAGTGTTTCTTGCCCTGTTTTTACAAATTTTCCATAACAGCTTAGTTAAGGGGAAATTTTTGGATTTTCAAAAACCGAAATGGTTCATCGATGGTTTGTGGCCATGTAAATAGAGACACGACGACAAGAGAAAGTAAAAGCGGTGAAGGTTGCTTGCAGAATGGAGAAGTCATTCTTTAGTATAATAAGCTCGTTAAATTTTTGAGTTTCATCTCTAATTCAGTAATCCAATTCATCCAGTTCATAAATACAAAATGCAGTTCTAATACCTCTCAAACTGAACATAAATTTGACTATAAATCAAATATAAACAGCCTAACTCTCATTTGAATGGCCTCATTTAACATATACTACCAACCTATAATCTCTGTATTGGCACTCCGAACTGTATTTCCAGAGTCGTGCTTCTTCTCCGATTCCAGAGGACGCAAAGATGCTTCTCCCGAGACCTAAAACAGATTCACCTTGTAAGAATTAGACGAGATTCAATCTAAATCTATAAAACCCAAGAGGAGATAAGATTCAATTTTCACAAATAGATTGAATTTTCACATAAGAAGACAGCACAAGTAGAATCATTTTTCCTTAAACAGACTAAAACAAACCAGTAAGCATGAAAAATAATTAAAAACACATATGAGTTCTCAAAATAAGTGACTGTAAGTGTACATATTGATGTTAAACTCATTATTTCAATTAATCATTTATTGGGACAGAAGAAGATTACCTAAACACTTGCTAAAAGTCACACATACAATTTTAATTAATTCACAAAGCAGCCTTGGCAAGTATTGTTTGTTACTTAACAGAGTTCGTGAATTCATTTGCACAAAAAAAATCTTAAAATTGCCAATAATAATCTAAGTTATTATTATTTTTCTGAAAAGAAACATAAAAAATTCAGTAAAAATTGTACAATGCAGAAAACCCATTATCCGAAAATAAAATATCCGACAAAAAACCCCCTGAATATAAATTATTATCCTTCATACCAGAGTAGAAGGTGCGAAAATTGAGTCGAAAATCCCAGAAGTCGATGAAACAGAAGAATCCTTTGAGCCAAAAAGATCAGAAGTGAATGAAGAACCTGTTTGTTTCCCTCCCTCCATTTTCTCTATATTTTCTCTCACACTTGAATAATGAGTGTTGAATCAAAGAGAGGACCCCTATATATTCAGCGCCCACTGTCAAATAAACCGTAACCGCCAAGAATCTTTACCGAGAAAACAAACAGAAAAACTCAGATGAGAAAGCGAAATAAAACGAGAAAAGGGTGAGAAAAAGAAAACAGAGACACGTGAATGATAAATGAATGGCAAACAAACAGCAACGAGAGACGAAATTTTGGACTTTTGAATGGTTTTTCTCAACGTCCTCCAATACGTCTCTCAATATTTAAAAAAAAAAAAAAAAAAAAAAAAAAAAAAAGAAGTTGAACCCCAATCTTGAGACCCCGTCGCCCTGCGTCCGCTCCTAGAGTTTTGTGAGGGAGGTAAATCGCTGGATTTGCCCCAACAGACCAGGGAACAAGAGCTGTATGTACACTGCGCCTACAAGGAGTCCAATTCCATATCTCAAAAATTGAACCCCCACACTGCGGCTGCCAGCAAGGCGTGAGATAATTTCGCTCCTATCCTTTGCACCACTAACTTATGCCTCGAGGGGTAGTCTCTCAATATTTATATATACATATGTATGTGTCTTCTTGATTGACGATCTCCCTCTCTTTATACCATATACATACATGATACTTGTACCGATTTTGTGAAAATTGCACAATTCATCCCCAATATATTGCTATGTTAGGAAACTTGTCGTAAATTTTAAGTGAGAGTAAGAATTTATCTCAACCTTGAATTATAATTTAACAATCTATTTTAACAATATGATCACAAACACAAAATCATCTAAATCTCTATTAAGCTCCTGTTTGGAAGGGATTAAAATCAAAATTTTAATAAATTTTGGATTAAAGTTGATGAAATATGAGATTAAAAAGTTGTAAATTTCGTGATGTGATTAAAAATAAGAGCTTTGTCACATGTACACTCAGTCGTGCACCCTGGGTGACGTAATGCACAAATGAAATTCTGTAATTGATTGGTTAAAATTGTTTAATGTTATTTGTGCATTACGTCACCCAGTATGTACACTTAAAAATGTACAAGTAAAATAATTTAAAATTAATTGTTTATTTTGACTCAAATTAAAATATGAATTTTAATCACTTTCAAATAGGGGCTAAATAATCGAGTAGCCCTTTCAATGCAAATTTTATGAAAGCAATATTTTCTCCTTAATTTAGGGATGCTTAAAATTATAATTTTTCTTTTAGTATTTTATATTTATTTGTAGGTGTCTTTTAATATTTTTGAAGAGCTTAGGGACTAACTGAGCAAGATCAAATCAGGGTAAAAGTTTCTTATTTAACAGCCGACAAATTAGGTCAATTTTTTAATTGATTAGAAAATAAACAATTAAGAGAGTTTTTCCAATTTAAATTCAAACTGGGATTTGCATCGATTTATCAGCCTCATGTTTGGCAAAACTTTTAAATGTTTAAATTAAAAGTTATAATTATTGCTAAATATGTAAATAATAAGAGAATATTCTGTTGAATGTTAAATTTACAAAATATAAAAATAAAATGAATACTCAAAACAAAAGATTAGGGACCAGTTACAGCAATTTTGCCCATCGTTTTGTGCGTTTGTTCGGTTTCGGTTACTCGGCTTTATCTCCTCGGTGACACGTAGCTGTCAAAAATGTAACAGTTATGTGCCACGTGGAAAAATCAGTTCTGTTTATGGGACCAAGATTTCAACTTCCAACATTTAACTGCCACGAGTACTAGTGGATAATTACAAGTCCTGTTCTTCTCAAGGTGCCATTGCTTTTTGTAGAACGCCATTTTTAAGATATACAGTGTTCGGTAGAGATTAAAATTAGATTTTTTAGTAAATTTTAACAGAAGTTTTTAAAATGTGGGTAGAAAAATTGTGAGGCCCATGAAATATATAATTAATATTGATTGTCTAACTTTGACTTGAATTAAAATCAGATTTAAATCCAAACCAAACAAGCTCTTACCATTTGGATTTGGTTCGATTAATGAACATATTGACACTCGTAATAAGTTGATTCTCAACATTTTATAAATAGTTCGAATTCTTGCTCGCTACATATTCGATTTTATGAAAATGGGTTTTGCTTCTCATTGTGAGTTGGAGCTTAAATTTGAAGTGATGCATATTTGTTTGAAGGTATGGAGCATTTGTTACCAATTGGCCAATCTTATTGATCAAATTATCATTATCTATTACCTCAAATCACGAAGGTGAAATCTAGAGGTTTACTATAGGAAAAGTTATCAAGATTATCTATTACTTAGGGCCCTTTTTTGAAGAATTTTTATAAGAGTTTTTTAAGAAAATTACCTTAATCTATTTGAAAGTTGGTTTCTACAATTGCTTTTTTAAATTGTGTTTTTAGATTATCAATCTCTTTTAAAAACTTTTATAACTGAACTAAGTACTTGTATAAAATTAATAAAACGAATCTAAATGTCACTTTTCGATCTCAAAAGCAATGTCGGACGGATCCTTATTGAAATTTCATTTCATTACGTGACAATCAGGCTCTAGCGTAGCATAATGACAAAATGAGACTAACAACCTATTCCATCAAATAGAGGATGCATGGTATATTTTATATTTATGATCTTATCTAACTTTATGAAAAGTTGGATAAGATAAAAATCTCATTTAATTTGTGAACTTTTGGAACAACCATTTTTATGTGCAGTGGTAGATAATATCTTGGATCAAAGGATTAGAAGGGTCAAGGGACAGACCTTATCCTTTATCTTGTTGGACCAAATTTGGTGGGTCCTTCTTCACTCTCTATCTACCTATGACAAAGTTACACGGTAATGACTAATAACGAGGAAAAGATACATCACGTATTATCCATATATGTTATTGTGATAATATATTTAATCGAGTTAAATAGTAAATTCATTGTTGAAAATATTTTATACTTTAGTCTTTTCTTTGGTTTAAGCTTAGTATATTGCAATCAGGAAAAGTTAATTTCTTTGTGTATATTTCTGAATAACGAAAGAGAATACATTGGTGGAGAAGGTTTCGAGAGATTTTGAATTTTCTTACAAGAAATGTGGAATAAGTCAATAGGATGAAATCAAATGATTAAATTATATTATTTAAAGGGAAAAATTCATATCTCCGGCCTTAAGTATAGGCCAATTCAATTTTAAGAGAATCAGATTACAATTTCAAAACTCGGGCAATAAATAAATATTTTAAAATATTTTATTAATTAAATATATTAAGCTCGCAATTATACGATTTATGGTCACATATCATTAAATTAATTGATCACAAATTACTTCTCGGCCATAAATTACAAATTTTATAAATCACAATTTATTTATCGATCACAAATCATAAATTTTATAAATCAAATTATCAAATTAATTAGTTACAAGTTATTTCTCAATCTCAAACATCGATCACAAAATTTTTAGGTCACATATTAAATAGTTCGTCACAAACACCCCATCCCAATCCCTCTATTGACACTAATACTTGGTGACAAATCAATAAAAGAGTTGGTCAGAAAACAAATGCTCTTCGTCCCACTCCCACTACCAACACCAACACCAACACCAATAGTTGATCACAATAATCCAAATACCCCATCCCAATCCCACCATCAACAACAATAGTTGGTCACAATAATCTAAATAATTGGTCACAAACTCTAAACCATGCTACCCACCGTCGCCTCTGCCAACACCACCACCACGAAGATGGTCCATTTGTGATGAGAGGGTAGAGAGAGACGGGAGAGGAAGATGAGTGACAAAATGATTTGGATTTGAATGGGGTGGATAGGGTATCGTATTGATATATAAATTAATTTGTAATTATATTATTAATACTAAAATATGGAATCATCACCTAATTTTTGGTTACGTAAGCTTTATATCTTATATTTGAATTGCCATATTTAAAATTAGGTTGGTATGTAATGTTCACTTATTTAAAATGATTCGAAAATAAAGTATTGCATTTAAAGAAAGTAAGAGTGCATTTGACATGACTTTTGAAAAGTGAAAAAAAAAAATTTGAGACACAAAAGTTACTTTTGGATTCGTTTGACTAATTTCGTACAAGTTTTTTTAGTAGTTAGAAGATATTTTAGATGAAACTGTTCTAATATGACTTCCTCTAAAAGTACTTTGGAAATAAGAAGTACTTTTAAAAATTAGTTTTAAAGTAAAAATTAAAGTAACTTTCTCCAAAAACTCTTCTAAATTAAACAAAAGTCATGTCAAATGAACTCTAAGTCAACTTCAATTTGAAAAATCATGCTTCATTCGTTTGTCTATTCTCGCTGTTGCGTAACATGTCAATGGCAATCATTTCGATTGGTACTTGATGCTAGTAATACCGAACAACATTACTTATTAAAATTAGATTAGATGACGATAAAGTGTTAAATTATTCTTGGAACTAGTCATTCTCTAACGCAAGGTTCGATCCAGTTAATGTTGTAAAGTTGGGTATTTAGAAAGTAATGAAATTGTCAAATCTGACAACTATAAAAATATTCAATTTTTTTTTTCCAGTTTCACGGAAAACCAAAATTGATAATTTCAACAAATTATTGGGAACATGCATTTTTTAGTATTTTATTTTCAACTACAATTGAATGATAGGTACTTCATATTGCAAGACACATTAGCAAATTACTCAAAGTAGAACGTGCAATAAGTGTTGTAAAAGTAATATTTGATATCAATTTATTGGGAAGATTTGACGAATCTCAAACGAACTAAAGAAAATAAAATTTAGAATGAAAATCTAAGAGAAGAAAATTGTACTCTCAAAACCCAACTTTTATTGTTCAAATTTTTTGTGATGATAAAATATTACAAATGCGCAACATTTTTATTCTACATTTAATACATAAGAATTAATTGTTAATACATCAATTGAAATGTCTATTAAAATTACTAGATATATGAATATAAATAAATTCATCTATGATAACTTCATATTCATATAGATCAAAATTCATTGAGTAGATTAATGTGAATATTAATTAATTGAGGATTAATAACACGAACTTCATACATGACAAGAATTTTGTAGTATATTTCTAAAAAATGCATTTTGTAATAGTGATTTGATGAAGAATGTGTAGTTAAAAAATATGAAATTTTTTGAATTTACGGGTAATATTATTTTATCGAAAAATGTGTGATTAAAAATAAGAGAAAAATGTATTTTGAAAAAAAAGTGAAGATCAAACAACGGCTACAATTCCGGATAAATGAATATGAAATATAAGTCTA